CGGAGACGCGGAGGGAAGCCCCCACCTGGAACTGCTCGATGGCCTTCAGCGGCTCCATGCAGTTGGTCAGCGTCTCCTTCAAGTCCTCCCCGTTGGCCACCCCGAGCTCCTGCAGGCCGGCGAACATGATGCGAGCCCCTCCAACCCGCGCGGGGCTCGCCCGCCCCGCAACAGCCCGGGTGCCACGGCGTAAGGCGTCCCCCGGCGGACCGTGGCGCGCGGCGCTCTGCGCCCCGGCGGGAAACCGCGCCCCCGCCTGGAAGGTTCCGCCTCGGGAGGGCGGCGCGCGTCGCCTCGCTCCGGGGGGCGAACGAAAAGCAAGACGCCGTAAGTCGGCGCGCTTATGGAAGTTGCATCGGCTTACGTGGAGGCTTCGCCGAAAGCCAAGCGTGGAAATACTTAACTAAAGCGAAAAGGATGCAGTTAGAAGAGACACGCGCAACGTTGCAGCACGCAGGGCCAGCTGCCCCCGCAATTGTCAATGCACGAATTAGGGGCGTGGGCTCGGCCGTGCATCGATGAATTGGTTTGGGCTGTCCTTTTTCTTTTTTAAGCCTTTTTAAAGGATGCTTTGAAAAGAAAACAGCAAGAAGAATAAATCAGTTTTTTTAAAAAAATATACGTTCAGTTTTAGGGTGCAGACGTGGATCTGGCTGGACGCTACAGGATGCTGGAGCATCTTTAGCTTTAGGGTCCCCCACCCCGCCCATGTCTTCATTGTCTGCTTTTCTTCCATGAGCCGGAGAGCAAATGAGCCATTCAAACCCCCTGTCTGAAATTAATGGCTGAAACCGTCTCAACCGAACGAAATTTGGGGGTCTCCCCACGGAAAGCATTAATGTCTAACTCCCAGTTTGTTAAGTGAGCGTAGATTTCTCTTGGACTACGTAAGTCTGTCGTTTTTCACCATAACCTGGATTTCATACGGTCCTGGCTACTGCCACTGATACTCATAGGCTAACTTGATCCCAATAACGAGTTTTAAAGGGACATACTGCATTTGGAGCAAAACCAGCAATATTCTGAGAATTCGTACTTAATCTACTTAATCTTATGCTTGCACGCCTCTTCTGTATTTACCCTGTGCCTTTCTTTTTCTCTCCTCCTTCTTTCTTTTTTCCCCTTTTAAAAGGTTCACTTAAAAATTAAAAAAAAAATATATATACATACACACACACACACACACATAATAAATAAATAAATAAATAAAAATGCTTAGGCTTACACAATGCTCCATTCTCTAAAGCTCCAAGTGGCTTAATTTAAGGGCAAACATCCATCTATTGCCTATCTATCTCTCTTTAAACCTTTATGTGTTGTGTGCATATGCACGCTGGCGTATGCAAATTGGAAACTGTTAAATATTTCATGGCGAAATTCACAAACTAGAGGACGGGGAACACAATAGATGATAGTGCCTCTCGCTCCCTTCCTCTCTGTCACCCCAGGGCCCGGAGGACAGACATTTTGGATCGATGAGCAAATCTGATAGTAGCAGCTCGTTGGGAAAGGAAGAGGGAGGGCGAACGCAACTCCCAACTCAACGTTGCTCTCTTTGTCTGAGGCCATCTGCAACTGTTTCGTACCCCAAAGCCTGTCTTACAACCTACAGCTGATCCCTTTCGATTTCACTCCTTAGCACTCTTTGCCTTAGACCTGCAAAAAACAAAATGGGTGTGAATCTGTGTGACGTGACCTGTGTTCATTTTCCGCCTCTTCCATTTCTTCCTCCTCAATTCAGTGAGTGCATTCTCTAGATGCATTCATACAACCCCCCCATTAAGGCACAACACTGCAGCATAGGTGGGCTGCCCGCCTTGACTTAATGGGGGAACGATTATAGCCATTTCTGTAATTTTCCCCCCCACTGGATGTCTACAGCTCAGGAAAATGTTTGAGGCACAGGAACTCCTCTTGCAATAAAAGAGGCTCACCTATGTCCTGAATTTTAAGGGACGTTCCTGAATGACAAGACATCTGAATCCTCGATCTGGAACAGTTTAATAACTTAATAGTTTAATAAAATAACAGGGATTATCACTGACAGGTTGCTGAACAGGATGGCTGCAGGATGCTCACCAGAGAAGTGGATCTCTGCTGTCGCTAGGTCAACGTAGGCCACCGCTTAAAAAAAAGTTTTTAAGCAATGGGAAATTTAAAAGGAGTATTATGTAGGTTCCCTTGGCAATGGGGAAACACTGGCAATTGACTGACAGTGAGGAAGAGAAACCAAGAAAGAAAAATATTAAGTTCCCCAGATAAATTTTTGGTCTAGCCATCCATCCCAAAATGCTAGAGAAAAGAAGGGAAGAGCAACCTTGACTTCCAGTTCATGATGCTTACGAGCTACCTCTAGAATCAGGATCAGAGGCAGCAAAACTCAAACTATCAGTTGTAAGGAACAAGGACGATGGTCTGGGTGTCCTCTTCTGGTTGTGTCATCTCTTGTGACATCTGTTTGGTCCCTGAAACAGAGGACCTTGGTGTGATTCAGCTCATCTTGCTGCGTTAAGCCAGTAAGAAAATAAACGTACGGCTTATTTTTTTATAACTATCTATCCAACTTAGGTTTCAATACAGAAATGATTTGTCAAGTGCTGGTTGTGGGTTCTTGTATACAGTGAGTACTGGTGTACAACTGAATAGGTCTGTATAAACTTGCATGGAGCGGAACTTAACGTGAGTGAATGGAAAGGGCAAATTCACATTTTTAAAATCTGGAATATAGGTACAAGACAGGAAAAATATCTTCTGAATTATCCGCTACCAATATCAAGATATTATGATGGGGATACTGCATATATCCATACTGAGATCTTCTTCACTGTTTCACAGTAGTTTAATTGTCAAGGCTCCAGAGCAAGAAGTTGGGGGTCTCCAAAATGAATAACTTGCTTTCCGTTGAAATGAGCAGAGGTTGGCGGACTGTCAGCTAGCAAAAAGATCTGAGTTATACTTTGCCCGATATCAGTCTCCCATTTTTTTTCTGACCCAGATTATGCCTTTCGTGTCTTTCTCTAGTGCTGGAAAATTTGGATTAAAAAGAAGGGATGTGCGTTTTTGGAAGCAAGGGTTTGGCAACTGAGACAGGAAAACCTCAGCCTCAGATCTCCCCTCTGCTGAAGAGAAAGCAAATCAGGCTTATCGTTTTCAGTGTTAAATATGTTTGCTTCTCGGTTACTATCCAAAACACAATGATAGCAGGTAACCGGATGATCTCCAGTGACTGCCTGAGATAGCTTTGGTTAGGAAATATCAACATGCCTTCATCTGCTACTTGTGATGTCAGCTTGCAAAACCATCATCAGAGCCGTTGCCATGGTGACACCAGTTTATGCGCTCATGGGCGTCTGCCATGTGCCTCTCTATCTTCTTGTGACTCAGGGAATGTGTGCCTACCCCCACCGGCCTCCCACCTGCCTTCTCTCGTATCACAAACGCATCCCTGGGCACCCAGGAAGAGGCATTGCGCCATGACAAATGGGAAGATGTTGGGAGCATGTGAATCAGAAATTTGCACAGGGCCAGAGCATGAACGTAATCAGAGTTCTATTTTCCTCTGAGTGGGTAGGTAGAGTTGGGGAGAAACAGCCGCCCTAATGTGAATTAGAAGAGGAGAATATCAACTACTGAATAGCATACCCACAGTGATGGGTTCATCATTAACAATTTTATTATTTTTACTAATTAAGGGAGTTTACATACTGGGTTGAATAACTGCACACCCTTTTGTAGCTTCTCGTGGTCATTGAAAATAATAAATCTTGTTGAGTCAAGCCTTGGAGATGTCAGTTTCCTCAACAGCTGTTTGGAAGCCTGGTCTACAATCTTGGATTTTCTTCCAGATACTAAGAGGGTCCAAGCCTGCTTAGCCTGCTTGAGATCTGTCAGGATTAGCTGCAGCATTCCAAACAGGCTTATGGGGAGAGAGGTTCCTTAGATGATACAGTAACCTGAATTGTCTCTTGTACTTCAAATGTGCTAAACCAGTTCTTCTGCATTTGGGAACATTCCTGTTCATTGGGGTGAGCGTACACAGAAACCTATCCATCCTTCTCCTTCCTTTCTAGATAAGCAACATGACGCAAAATACAGGAAAAGGAAAGAAAAAAAGAAAAAAAAGAAGGAAGCAAAAGAACATACGCAAGAAATAAGAAAAAAACGAATTCTAGTTTACGATCCAGTTTATTTTTTTCCTTGCAAATCATCTTTGTTTCTATCATGCCCACAGAAGACTTAATACCCTTGTGTTCTTTAAAATTCTCACCTCTCTCTGTTTTCAGGCTCTCATCAACTACATAGAATCACAACGATCTCTGCCGCCCCTTTTCTCTGAACTTTAAAATCAGCCCCCTCTAACTGTGGCTAATCTAAACAAACAAACAAACACGCAAACACCTAAGCAAGATTGGATCTAATTAGTACTTGGATAAATGCCAATATAACAAGATGAATTCTAACACTGTCTTATATCTTACAAACATCTGCTACCTCTTCGGCGGCAGGTTTTTCTTATTTCCATCTGCCAGCTCTGGAACTGAAAGAAGTGAGAGTTTTAAAAAGAATAAATACAACCTCATGGCTACAGCCAAATCAAGCTATAATTCAGTGGTTACCTTGGCAACGTGGGTGATGCATCCGTCTGTTGGATCTCACCCTCCATCAAACATAATGGCTAGGAGAGTTCATTATGCAATCCATCCTTCAGGAAGGAAAGAAAAACCAGATTAACAATATGGGAACAGTCATACTGCAATGTCTTTGGCAGCCTAATAATGCAGTTACCGGTAATTGTTTCATGCAAGTCAAGTTTATTTCCTTCTTCTGTAGGCTCCAGTAAGATTCATGGATGTATCTATATAGCCATGGCTTTTACACATTTGCACTAATTTCTGAAGGACTGTCTGCTCTTCTTATGATTAACTGCTTCTTGAGCACTGCTCCAGGCACCCCTGAACGCAGGATAAGGTAGACCTTCATCCATGCAAACAAATCACTGGAAAAAAAAGGACGGCATCTAACAGATGTCTTCAAGCAGATAACGCAGATTTCCAAGTGCAGATACCTTCAAACAGGCCAGTAATCAAGGTTGGAAATGGGGCAAGCGATTGAAATGTTAATTAAATCCTTAAAACTTACAAAATCACTGTAAATCTATCAGGGTCCTGGAGAAAGCGGAGAAATAAAAAGTTGAGAACTGCTCAACTAGATTACTGTCCTTTGACCATCCTTCCAACAGAGAACACCTTCAAGCAGATGACTCTTCTCTAACAAGCCCTTAATATACCAGATGTCTTGCACTAGCCCAGAAGACCTCTGGAAACCTTGTAGCCCATTCAAAGTGGCATCAAGTAGGATGCATAAACATCTTAAGTCCTTCCTGATGGTTTCTTCCCAGCCCAGGCCTTGTAAGATCCAGTTTTGGTGCACGTGTATATCGATTAAAAAATAAAGTCTGCAGATGCTCAGCATTCAATGATCCCAGATGGAACTTGATTAGCATGGCCTAGGGGGCTCTTTTGCAAAGAATGTGGTAGGCCTATTTACAGAAGTTACCCTGCTCCAGTCCAGATTGGTTTTGAGCTCTCCCTGGGAGAGGCAAACCCTCTAGAAGAGATCAGTCTTAAAGATAACAGAGCTGCAACTAAACCTCACCCTTTCTCAAGACGTGTGGCTAAGCATTTCTCAGCCCTGCCCTGGGAGAAACTAACCTTTGTTTTTCAGGATGGCAGGAACGCCTCCACTCAGCTTTCAGGCAATGCAAACAAGGCGGATCACTATCTTCTAGCTAAGCTGATGGATCCCAAGTAGATTCCGTGCTTCTGTTGAGTTGCTTCTGTCATGAAGATGGGCCCAATATTTCTTGCAAGCCGCCCAGCTGATTAGTCAAAGGAGGATTAGCGATCACACCTCATTGACTAAATTTTTTAAGTAGCCTTCTCGAGCCTAAACTGTTTCCCAGCCCAGCTTACAGTTCAAAAGCATTCCAAAACTCAGTTATATTAGAGATAAGGTAAAGTGTGTTGGTTTTTGTCAATCAAGGTATCCTGGTGCGATGGGCTTCAGGATCCCAAAGGCCCCAGTGTAAAAACTGTTGCGATAGGAGTGACCCAAAACTCTGTTGCAGATCTGATCTAGCTTTCTTTCCACCCTGTTTTCAGGAACCAGTTCCTGTTCATAAAATACACCAATTGGTTGCAAAAAGCACTGTTGTTTCTATACGCTCCATGACCACTTTCTGTTCTCCATTCCTACTTTGCCTGCATAGATGCTGATAGCCCAGGTTCTCACATTACCCCATGTCCTTCGTTGGCTTAACTCTGGTTTATTCGGTAGATTTAGGGGGTTGCACAGACCTAGCAAACCGGGCTGTATTCAGTAAGGGATGAATAAAGCAAACCATACCTTGGTGGGTGGGTGAACTCTCTTTCTGCCTTTTCTTTCTCCAACGCGCTGCAACGTCTCATGTTTTTTCTGCGGGATGATAATAATCATATTAAATTTATACGCCGCTCGGCTCCTGCAACTGAAATGCCACTGAACTTTGGATAACCTATGGAAAAACATCCCACGTTATTTGTACAGAGTCAGCATGTCTATGATCCAGTCCAACATTTCAGGAGATTTATAAGCCTCCTTCCTCCCATGATTAAAGCGGGAGTTGATCGTCTTTTCTAAAAGATAATCGTTAAAAACCATGGAAGGTATTTAAGAGCATTTACCCCCTGCAAGTGGGCATCCCCAGGATTTACTCCAACATCTGGCTAAACCTAATTTAAACCTCTTTCTTAAAAGAAAGACTATTCCTCCTATGAAAAGAACCGAAATAATAATTTCGTAATAAAACTTTTTTCTATTAATGGAAACGATTCGACCTCTTAGCATCTTAAGAGTCACTTAAAATAAACATTCCGTAATCATCCTAATATGAAGTATTATCTTGCATTATCACAGGATATAAATTATTAAGAGCCTTCCTCGAAATAAAAATATCCTTCATATAATATTATTAAATATTAACAAAACTAATTTCATAATCATAATAAACATTCAAAGCGGACTTATTGACGTCCCCACCTTCGCAGTCCGCAGTCCATCTCCCCCTCCCCCCGAGGGGTGACGGACTACAAACCCATCATCCCCCGCCAGCACAGCCGAGGGATGGGAAATGTCGTCCCCG